TTCAAGTGTAATCCTATCTATCAGACCAGAATACAAAACCCTAACATTCAAGTGTAATCCTATCTATCAGACCAGAATACAAAACCCTAACATTCGATGTGATGCGAGTAAGCTGGAGATCAGAACAATCAGGTCCAGCGCCACTAAACAATGTGTTGTGGATCAGATGGGAATCGGGCCCAGCGTCCCTATGCAGTAGTATGTGAATATGCTCATCAATATATGACCCATGAAGGAAGAGCCCTATGTACCCTATCCTCCACAATCTACTATGCAAAACAGTATATGACGCATTAAGAAAGAAGCCTATGTACCCAACCTCCTTCCTTATCAACTACTGATCAGAGAACCCTATCCACCTAATCTACTATCTCCAATACGGGCTCAGACGAAGCCATAACAATGATGTGATGTGTGTTACCTGGAAAAACGGACCCAGGAGCCCTATACAATGATGTGTGGAAATTCATGGATCACATTAAATCCGTTCTGTAAATATTCGAATCTCACCTAAATCTCCAGAAAGAGCAGAGGCATTGATTACTTCCCTACGCAAGGGAAGGATTGAACTCCTGCCCATGAAGTACTATCCTAACGAAAAGCATAACAGCAGAGGCGGTGATCTCTCCACGACCGGGGAGGGATGGCCACCTACCTATCTGCGCTAAAAATCGTCATCATCAAACCCCAACAGGCAATCTACGAACACGCCAACAACGAAACCCTGAACTATCCTCGTCCCGCCCGAGGGGCGACCCTCCCCCTTCTTGATTGAACTTGCAGACCTTGGAACTCCAATCAGCACGGGGGGCATCAACCCCCATCCAAAACCAACGAGGGGGAGATCATCTGTCCAACTCCCACCCGGTGCCACACGAAGAAAAACGTATCAACGTGTAAAAACACCAGACAGGGAGGGGGGGGAATGGTAAAACGCACCTTCCCCCCTATACCCCGCCTCACAAGCCCAATCATGCCGGCGATCCCCCCCCACTCCGCTGCTATCGTTATAACGGCCCTTATTGTCGCCCGCGCTTCTGTTTTCGTTCTTGCCGTCCCCTCTTCTGCCGCAGTAGCCTGTAAGCCCAACTCACCAGCAACGTCGGTCCCTGTTGTTATTGTTGTTAATGTCTCTGCTGTGGTTGCGTCTGAGTGCGCTGCTGTCGTCACCAATGCTGCAGCCGTTTCTATCAACCCCAACTCCACCACCCACTCGTCTGCCTTATCACGGGCATATTCCCTCTCGCCGTGATCTCCACTGCCCCGATGAGGTTGGGAGTCGTCATCAGCGAGGGGACTTGTTATTGATGTTTGTGTTATTATTGTTGTTGGTGGTAGCGGTATCAATGCTGTTGTTCCCTCTGTTTGAGCAGTTGTCGTCGCCTCTGCCGCCGCCGTCGCCATCAGCCCCACCTCCACCTCCCAATCGCCTGCCTCATCACCATCATCATGCTCCGCAGGCAAACCGTCGTCTTGGCTGACAAGAGGAATATCATCTATCGTTGTTGTTGTTGTTGTTGCTGTTGTTGGCGGTGGTGGTATCGTTGCTGTAGTTCCCTCTGTTTGCGCAGTAGTCGTCGCTGCTGCCGCCGCTGTAGCCATCATCCCCACCTCCATGTCCCACTTGCCTGCCTCATCAGGGGCATATTCCCACTCGCCATCCTGATAAGGGGGCGCCATCCGGCTCATCTCACTTCCAAATTCCCAATCCTCACACACTGCGCATAGATTTGCAAAATATCTGATGGCATCTTCATCATCTTGCCCACGATCATCATACTCCACAGGCGAGCCGTCGTCTTGGCTGTTGAGAAGAATTTCGTCTATTGTTGTTGATGTTGATGTTGTTGTTGTTGTTGTTGTTGTTAGCACCGTTGCTGTAGTTCCCTCTGTTAGCACAGTTGTGGTCGCCGCTGCCGCTGCCTTCGCCATCAGTCCCACCTCCACCTCCCACTCGCTTTCCTCATTAGGGGCATAATCCCCTCGCCATCGTGATAAAGGGGCTCCAACAGGTCATCCTTCCAACCTCCTGAACCCCCCACGACAGCTCCACGGCTCATCTCACTTCCAGTTTCCCAAAAGTGCTTCAAAATGCATCCTATAATTCCTTTTTTTCCTCCTTTTTTTTAAATTTATTTATTAAAAGGCCCATGGGAGGCAGAGAACCAGACCCGCGGTGATTGCTGGTAGCAGCAGCCAATGGTTGTCCTGACAGGATAGGCCACCTACCCTACCCATCCCCACGTTAATACTCCTAGCGCACCCCGTCCCTACTATCCTACCTCAGTGTGACCAGCACTCAGGACCATCACCCTACCAGTATCGAGGGCAACTTGGACCAGACAGCAGTGACAAGCACCAAGGCTGGGCCAACCTCCCAGCCCTGATGGAAGCGGAAGCAGACGAACCTTGCCGTACGGGAGCTTCGGACGCCAGGCTCATGCAATCTTCTACAGACCCAATTCAGAGAGTCTACCCAGCAGGATTACCTAAGCAAGGCAGGCCAGCGTCCGCGGACACATCCTGCCGTCCTTCCCCTAGCTTACCCAAGGCTAGGCGGAACTCAGACTAGCCGGAGCAACTTATATCCCTACCCTACCCTAGAGCTAAGCCATGCGTGAGTAGACCCCGTCATATACCTGATAGACCCCCCCAGCCCAGTATCGTAGTTGTGTGTATGTGTGTGTGCCCAGAGGCTATGCATATGTATGTTTGTACGAGCCCATAGGGCCATGTGTTTCGTATCTGCCCGACGGCCATGTGTGCTCTGTGTAACTGTATAACGAGAACCTCAAAAGAATGTAGTGTTATTATACGCTGGGCTACCAGCCGGGCCTCCCTGGTCACCTTGTTTTCCCGGGCAGTCTGGCCGTTCAAGGACCAGGGAAGGTCCGTGCAAATAAAAAAGAAAAAGAAAAAAGAACCGAAAAAAAACTGTGTTATGCAGAAAAATAAACTGAACAACTTTTGTCTCAGGGTCATATCGAATTACCAAATTTGAAATAAAAAATAAAAATAAAAAGAATTATTTTTATTTTTTGTTTTTTTTAGCCCGGCTGGGCAAGTGGTCCCGGGCCACTCTGGTAGCCTGGATTATACGGCCAATAATAGTCAATATCAATATACTTTGGTTAATCGCATGGATATAAAAGTAATACTACTAAAGTATCTATATCCCAGCAATTTCTTTTTTTTTTTTATATGTTGAATTCAAGAAAGTGCAAGGATTTGTGTCCTCGCCATGCCCGTAAGGGCGCCCGCTGCAAGCATAGGGCCCACTCTAAGCGAAGGGGGCCCCTATATCACAAAGAGACCTGAATATTGCAGAATTTGCCTGCCTTGGTGGGCGCCAGACAGTTGCCAAGCACCTGTTGATTACATGTTCCCTGCTCGCGAGCGGTCCAGGCTCTTCTACTCCTGACTTGGAAGCTGGCCTCTCGGCCAATCAGAGAGAAGGGAACACACCTTGCTGGGCGCTGGGTGGTTGGGCGCACCTCACTGCTGCGGGCCCAGGCCACTGTCTGAACGGGCCTGGGCTCAGACGCTTTGGCCCGACGTGAAGCTACTGGAAGCACGGGCCTCAAGCAGCCTGGAGGCCAGGCCGCTTTCCATATAGGAAAGAGCCTGGCCACGAAGGCGGCATTTGGGCACTTTGCATGTTGGGCGGCAGCGCTGCTGGATAGCGCACTGAAGGCCATTAGCGAGCAGTGCTCGTGCACACGCGGGCGCAGGGTGAAGTGAGGCCACCGCTAGTGAGCAGCGTCATAGCCAAGGCAGTCATATCCGGGCCTGGGCAGACATAGCTGGCGAGAGATGGTTGTGGTCTTACGGTAGGGGAAACACGTGGGTGGAGGACGAGGGTGAGCATATCGAGGGCGATGTGAGAGCACGTACCTGGTCGTCGTGGGGTTCTGCATGAGCGACATCTGCATGTACTTTGGTTGCCGCTGCTGACGTCAACTGGTTGCTTTGTCCTTTGAGTAGGCTAGCGTAGAAGCTGTAGGATTGAAGTCTGGGCGCTGAGCGCCAGGAGGAGGAAGAGTTTCGAACGTTCGAGTACATTGTTGGGTGGGTGGCTAGAGCGGGCCTTCATTGACAATTGAGTTCTTGCAGCTTTGGTTCTCCTTCGGTGTGATTTCACTGCATTTCTGCTTTCTGGACAGCTTACTATCATCTGGCTTTCAATGTGATATTGCAATCTGAAATTCTGTCATTTCGCTATTGCTCATTTTCCTTGCAAAAGTATTGAATAAATAAAATAATATAAAATTATAAATGAATGAATTTCAATGAAATAATACATAATTTAAAATAAAATAAAGAAACAAATGAAATTTGACAATTCGGATTCAATTACCTTGTTCCCAGCCTGGTTTCTCAGCTTGGATGGCATCAGCGATGGCTTCTTAAAGCCCTCTTCATCTGCATCCGTGTCACCCTGGCTGTTCATGCACTGCATCTGGTCGTTCCCATTGGATGGCTGCCGTGTTACATCAGACCCCAAGGAGTGAAGACCTCCAACTGTGGACATATCCATCTCGGCTGTTGGCCCACTTGGTTTTCCTCCTCGGGGAGCAGACATTGCACTCCGCTTTGCATCCTTCTTCTCGTCTGTTGTTGGTGCATCTGGCAAGCCCTCAACACTTCCGGCTGGCGAAGACGTATTGTTGTACACGTAAACATCCATGCAAAGCGCCAGTGCAAACATCCACGCAAACATTCACACAAACGAACACACACACATCCGCCATGCAAACATTCGCAGAACAGTCAACGGCGTGCACACACAAGCGGCCACACAAACATCCACTCAAACGTCCGCAAAAAATGCCCACTCAAATATCCGCACAAAACATCCACTCAAATGTCTATTCAAATGTCCGCACAAACGTTCACGCAACATTCATGCAAAATAAGTCTTCATAAAAAAGCGGTGGGTTTAACTAACTTTAACAGGCAATTGAAAAAAAAAAAATGTAGACTTGAATTTGGGTGTTGTCAAGTTGAATGAAATTATGAAAGATGTGAAGGAAATACTCAAGCATAGAACTATTCATTTATTACTATTATTACTATTAGTAATACCGATACGTTAGCAGACCCGCAAAGATTTTGGGGGAAAAAAAAACAAAAACAAAAAGAGTATACCGTATTACCGATATGACATTCATTTGGATTCTCGCAACATGCGAAGCAAATACTTGAACATATATATAGTATATACTATATGGATATAACATTCGATTCAGACTCTCAGAGTGCAGAAAAAGGCCAATTTCTTAGAGGGCTTGAAAAGTAAGCAAATTGTTGTGCCCAAGCAAGTTTGAGCTCATAACCTGATTGTTACATGTGCTACACTTCTCTGAACACATGGTTCGTGTCAACATATCTGGCAAGAATATCAACCAGCCACAGCTAGTAACTACCCCATGTCCTGTTTAGGTAAACTAGCGGTTGCCCACGGCAGCTTCAGGGGCAGAAAAACAGGGAGTAGCGCACAGAAGGGGAAGCTGTTGACGAATGTCCTGCTCTCTCCCTCCCTCCCTCCCTCCCTCCCTCCCTCCCTCCCTCCCTCCCTCTCTCTCCCCATCTATCTCTCTTACTTTCTCTCTCTC